ATCAAAGATCAATTAACTCTTGATTAGTATTTATTTTAAATAGTGTTTTCATACATTTGCGTCTATCGTGACAGATGTCTGAATGACAACTAAGTTTTTGTTTAATTATAATTCATATTTTGTTTAACAGATCCTCTTTTGTTCTGCGTGCCAATTCCGGTTACATATTTAATTAGTAATTGTTAAGTGATTAATACTACACTCGGCCATTCTGATAAATTCACCTGCCCTCAGGTGTTCGAAAATCAAGAACTTTCTAAACTTTTTTATTTAATTGACTATAGTCGATGTAAATTCTTTTAGACACATTTTTCTTTGTCGCGATTACAATAGGACTTGCGTAGTCTGACGTAGTGGATCTTATTATTTTATCATCTAACAAATTATTAATTTCGTTTTGAATTTTATCATTTTTTATGTAAGAAAGATCAATTTTATTCGTTTCGTTGATATAATCGATTTGATTTATATAATTTTTGTCAGAAGTATTTTTAATTTTAGAAATTTTTATTTTTCCGTCTTTATAATGTAATTCAATTGTGTTCAAAAAGTCCGTGCCTAATACTATAATATCTTTCATCACGTGATTCGAAATAACATGTAAAATTACTTTAAAGGGTTCGTTATCAATTTTCAAATTTACTGAAGCCATACCCAAAGTAGACATAAATGAATCACCTGATCCTATGCCTGAAAATTTTGTTATTTTTTCTTTGTTAAATTGTATTTCTAGATTTTTGATAATTTCTTCCCCAATAACACTTAATTCGCTCCCTGTGTCGATTAGAGCTTTGAATTCTTCCCCATTTATCGAGATTGTTTTGTACGATTTTTGAGAATTAGTTTGAAGTACATTACATGTTCGAATTTCTTTGGAAATTCCAATATCGTGTGAACATTGGTTTGCTTTATGTCCATAATTATTACATTGAAAACATTTTGGTCCTTTATCTTTAAGTGGACAATCTTTGCTCATATGGCCTTCTGACCCACAATTAAAACATTTGTTAATTTTGTCAGTGTCTGTTTGTTTTGTAAAAGTTTTCTTTAGAGTATAGTCTGTTTTATTAATTAATTTAGATTTTAGTTTCATTTTTTCATATGTGTCTAGTCTCAATTTTAATTCGCGAATATTATTTGATCCGTATAAAATCAATTTGTTTACCTCGTCTCCTTCAATTCCTTCTATAATATATTCTATTACCGCACTAGGTTCCATGTTGACCTGAGCTCCAATTTCCATCATTTTGTAACAATATTCGTGATAGGTTTCATCATGCCTTTTCTTACGTTGACGCATTTTCAGATGTACTGCATGGCTGTCGATTTTCGTGCTAAATTCTTCTTTGAGTGCCTTCTTCATTGCTTCCCAGGAATATTTGCAATCTTCAAAATTTATAAATAATTTGGCGGAACCTTTCAGTAAACGTTTTGCGTAGATTGCTTTGTATGTTTCGTTCCATTCACATATTTGTGCTGTATCTTCAAATTCGCTTATCCAATGTTGAATATTTCGACCATCATCACCGCTGAAGAAGTCTAACGTGCCCTCTATGTCTTTGAAGGTTATTATCGAAGAGTGAGATTGATTTCTTGAATTAATTTGATCTCTTCTGTCGTAACTCGTAGGTGATTGTTGATAATCAATATCATTAGAATATGATTGAATTTGATTTTTTTGTTGATTTTGACGTCTTTGCTCATTTTGCCTTCTTCGTTCATTTTCTCGTCTTAGTTCATTTTCTTGTATTTCCTCATTTTCTCGTCTTAGATTATATTCTCGTCTTAATTCATCTTTTCGTCTTTGCTCATCTTCTCGTCTTTGCTCATCTTCTCGTCTTTGCTCGTCTTCTCGTCTTTGCTCATCTTCTCGTCTTTGCTCATCTTCTCGTCTTTGTTCATCTTCTCGTCTTTGCTCATCTTCTCGTCTTTGTTCATCTTCTCGTCTTTGCTTTTCGTATTCTTTTTGTTCTTCTTCGGTAAAGCCTCTTAAATTGGGTTCTTGATTTATGCTTTCTAATGCTTCTAGTAAACGATTTTTTAATTCCGGTTTATTTCCTATGATTGACAAACCCAATTGTCGTAATCTAAATTTTAATTCATTTAGTTTTAAAGAATTTATGTTTACTTCATCATCTGTCAAAGCGTCGTGATCGTCGTCGTTGATGGTTAATTGATGATCTTTCGTCAGCTCTTTTCGAAGTCTTTCTCTTAAATTAGCGGTTGATCCGGTTAATGGAAGTCCAAGTTCCGCTAGTCGTTCCCTCATGTTGTCGTCGGATAAATCGTGTAATTCTTCCAATTGTCTCTCGATATCTGTCATTGTGAATTTGACGTTTCTTATTTTTCGTGAAGAAAGAATTTTTTTTTTTTTTGTTTCTTTTTCTTTGGACGAGCCCCCAATTGTAGTATAATTAATAGTTATTATGAAATCAAAGATCAATTAACTCTTGATTAGTATTTATTTTAAATAGTGTTTTCATACATTTGCGTCTATCGTGACAGATGTCTGAATGACAACTAAGTTTTTGTTTAATTATAATTCATATTTTGTTTAACAGATCCTCTTTTGTTCTGCGTGCCAATTCCGGTTACATATTTAATTAGTAATTGTTAAGTGATTAATACTACATATATGTATCATTATAATACAATTATTACTTTAAATGTATGTTGTATCAATAGTTTACTTTATTTTTATCTAAAATCAATTGAAACATTAATCTAATTTTTAAAAACAATGGCTCAATTTGTTCTTTTAAAAATTCTCTACAATTTTGTTAATTGAATTTTGTTAACAATGTTTTCCTTCAAAAGATACTAAATAAATGATTATAATACAATTACATTAAAATATTAAATGTATAAACTATCAATGATTCATTAGGACCACTGGCTCATTAATTTTCATTAATTAATTAAGTAATTAAGTCATTAATTAAGTAAATATATTAAAGACAATTCCAATTTATGAAGCAAACAAAATTTGTTCCATTTTATATTTCTAAAGAAAATATTTCTTAATTAAAAGAAATGCCAAATTTTAGAGAATATTTTTATGGGCAAAATGAGTCTTTGTGTGTAAAAATTGCTTTCGTTAATAATTAACTTAATAGGAAAAAACACAAAATTTTAATTATAAATTATAACCATTATTTTATAATAAATTTTGGCTACGAAATAATTTTCTTGACAATTTTGTGCTTAATTTTTTATCTAAAATTATAATTGTAACTTTTATCTAATTTTTACAAACAATGACTCTTTTTGTTCTTTTAAAAATATTCTCTACAATTCTGTTCGTTGTATTTTGTTAACAATAGATTCATTCGAATGTAATTAAATAAAGAATTATAATTATAATACTCACTCTATTATCTTTTAATTAAATTCCGTAATTGTTTTTGGAATGAAAATCATAATTTAATTTAATATTCTAAAATTTCTTACTTATGCAGAGAATAACTTTAGTAGAATTATTATTGCAAGAAAAATAAAAAAATTATATTATTTTTCATATTTTTGAGTTGATACTAAAGTGGATTTTTGAAAAATATTTTAAAGATGATATTTTCGTTAAAAAAAAGGTTAGGTATCCTAATTTTTTTTTTTTTAAACTTTTGAAAATATTAAAAATCTTTCAAATAATTTAATTAAAATTGTACTCAAATCAATTGAATTCTTCTAAAGAATTTTATCAACATTTTTGTATAAAGAATTGAATTTCTCCAAAGAATTTGATAAATTATGAAAATAATTAAATTCTTGCAATGAATATTTTTTTTTAATTTTCAAAAAATAATTGAATTGTTTTGAAAAATTTCATTAAAATTTTTTAAAATAATTAAATTTTATCAAAAAATTTAATTAAAAATAAATTAAAACTATATAATTAAATTTTAATATTGTATCGAAATTTTGGAAAATAATTGAATTTTTTCAAGAAACTTTATTAAATTTTTCTTTAGAAATTTTTTTTGTTTAATCGAATTTTTATTCAGAAAGAATTTTCCTTTATTCGACTTTTTATTAAGAGAAATTGTTGTTTAATTGAATTTTTATTTAGAAATTCTTTAGGAATTAACATTTTAATAAAAAAAAAATGTTTGTTCATTCGAATATTTATTTAGGAAAACGGAATTTTTATTTTAAAAAAATTTTAGTTAATTTATCAAATTTTTATTTAAAAATTCTTTCATGGAATTTTTATTAAGAAAAATAGTCGTTCAATCGAATTATGGTTTATAAATTCTTTAACAAATTTTTTATTTGATAAAAATTTTTGTTTATTCAAAATTTTTTTTTTTTTTGAGGAAAATCAAATTTTTATTTAGGAATTCTTTAATGGAATTTTTATTCAGAAATATTTTTTGTTTATTGAACTTTTTGTTTTTATTGAGGAAAATCAAATTTTATCGTTGAAATTCTTTAAAAGAATTTTTAATTAGAAAGAATTTTTCTTTTATTCGAATTTTTTATTAGGAATTTTTCACTGAAATTTTTATTTAGAAAGAATTTTTGTTTATTATAATTTTTCTTGATGAAAATCGAATATTAATTTAGAAACTTGTTTAATCGAATTTTTATTTAGAAATATTTCTCTTTAATTCAATACTTATTTGAAAAAATTTTTTATAAAATAAATTTGATTTAGTTAATATTTGTATTCAGAAAGAATTTTTATTTTTTTTAAATTTTATTGAGAAAAATTGTTTAATCGAATTTTCATTCAGAAAAAAATTTTTTTTATCGAATTTTGATTTAGGAAAATTGATGTTTAATCGAATTTTGATTTAGGAAAATTTTTGTTCAGAAAGAATTTTTATTATTTCAAATTTTTATTGAGGAAAGTTGTTTAATCGAATTTTTATTCAGTAAAATTTTTTTTTTTATCGAATTTTGATTTAGGAAAATTGATGTTTAAACAAATTTTTATTCAAAAAAAAATGTTTGTTTACTCAAATTCTCAAATTCAGGAAAACAAATAATTCTACCTTGTATTTAAAGATCATTCCCACTCACATGGTTTTTCTATTTTTGCAGAATTCTCATTTAGAAGAATATTAGAAGAGTACGAGGCAATTTTTTAAAATGACAGAAATTTCTTCATTTTCTTTGAAATCCGAACTTTTCTTGATTGGTGGATAAAAATTGTCTAACTCAATATAAAATTGGGATAATCCATTTAATAATCCATTTAACGCCAGGATAAAATTGTGATAAATGGACAGAAGTGCAGCGTGTCGGAAAGTTTCTTTTGGGAAGAAAAAAGGAGAGAGAGAGTGAAAGAGAGACAAGAGGAGGATTATTTTTTTCTCTCATTTTAGTGGTATAATGCCGATTGCAAAGGAAATTCTCCTGAGAGAGAATGGTGCAGAAGTTTCGATCGATATTGTCTTCGGACACGAGAGATGCCAACAAAAGAGGTTCGCTGTGAAAGCGTATTTAATAGAGTTCCATGTTGAATTGTGTATAAATGTGGGTCTCTATGAACGATATATCAGATATATTTCCTGCTCTTTACACCTATTGCTTCAACCGCGAATGCTCATGGAGATGAGAAAGAGAGAAAGCATATTTCTAGTCACTTCTCGCGAGGGGTTGCTTTTTATTGGGAAAGGTTTTGCTTTCCACGAGACGTGAGTAACGATTATTCCAATTTAAAACCAGAATGTTAATCATCTAATGATTCATTTTAGACCTCCCCGAATCTTCGAGTAGGTTTCTTTTTCTTTTTTTAAAGAGAAAACTTTTAAATAGACTTTAGAAGTATTTTTTATGTTTGGAAAAAAATAGAAAAGAATTTTGAAAAAAAAAATTATTTTCGTTTGAAATTTTTTTGAAAAAAATTTTTTTGAATCGATTAACGAATTACAAAACCAAAATTCGATAGAAAAAATATTTTTTTCAAAAAAATTCAATTTTTCTCAATAAAAAGTCCAATAAACATAAATTCATTTTCAATAAAAATGCCCTTAAAGAATTTCTAAATAAAAATTCGATTCAACAAAAATTTGTCTGAATAAAAATTCCAGTTAATAATTCCCATAAAAAGTCCAATAAACAAAAATTCTTTCTCAATAAAAATTCCCTTAAAGAATTTATAAATCAAAATTAAATTTAACAAACATTTTTCTAAATAAAACTTCCAGTTAATAATTCAAAATTCAAATAAACAAAAATTTTTTCAAAATTTCCTCAATAAAAATACCAATAAAAAAAAATTCTTTCGTAATAAAAATTCCATTAAAGAATTTCGAAGATAAAATTACTCAATAAAAAGTCCAATAAACATAAATTCATTTTCAATAAAAATGCCCTTAAAGAATTTCTAAATAAAAATTCGATTCAACAAAAATTTGTCTGAATAAAATTTCGACTAAACAACAATTTTTTCTTAATAAAAATTCCAGTAGAAAATTTCTAATAAAAAATGCGAATAAAAGAAATGTTTACTAAAAAAAAATTCCATTAAAGAATTTCGAAGATAAAATTCCCCAATAAAAAGTCCAATAAACAAAAAATCTTTCTGAATAAAAATTCCATTAAAGAATTCCTAAATAAAAATTTGATTTTCCTTAATAAAAATTCAAATAAACAAAAATTTTTTCAAAATTTCCTCAATAAAAATACCAATAAAAAAAAATTCTTTCGTAATAAAAATTCCATTAAAGAATTTCTAAGATAAAATTCCTCAATAAAAAGTCCAATAAACATAAATTCATTTTCAATAAAAATGCCCTTAAAGAATTTCTAAATAAAAATTCGATTCAACAAAAATTTGTCTGAATAAAATTTCGACTAAACAACAATTTTTTCTTAATAAAAATTCCAGTAGAAAATTTCTAATAAAAAATGCGAATAAAAGAAATGTTTACTAAAAAAAAATTCCATTAAAGAATTTCGAAGATAAAATTCCCCAATAAAAAGTCCAATAAACAAAAAATCTTTCTGAATAAAAATTCCATTAAAGAATTCCTAAATAAAAATTTGATTTTCCTTAATAAAAATTCAAATAAACAAAAATTTTTTCAAAATTTCCTCAATAAAAATACCAATAAAAAAAAATTCTTTCGTAATAAAAATTCCATTAAAGAATTTCTAAGATAAAATTCCTCAATAAAAAGTCCAATAAACATAAATTCATTTTCAATAAAAATGCCCTTAAAGAATTTCTAAATAAAAATTCGATTCAACAAAAATTTGTCTGAATAAAATTTCGACTAAACAACAATTTTTTCTTAATAAAAATTCCAGTAGAAAATTTCTAATAAAAAATGCGAATAAAAGAAATGTTTACTAAAAAAAAATTCCATTAAAGAATTTCTAAGATAAGATTCCTCAATAAAAAGTCCAATAAACATAAATTCATTTTCAATAAAAATGCCCTTAAAGAATTTCTAAATAAAAATTCGATTCAACAAAAATTTGTCTGAATAAAATTTCGACTAAACAACAATTTTTTCTTAATAAAAATTCCTGTAGGAAATTTCTAATAAAAAATGCGAATAAAAGAAATGCTTTCTAAAAAAAATTTCATTAAAGAATTTCGAAGATAAAATTCCCCAATAAAAAGTCAAATAAACAAAAAATCTTTCTGAATAAAAATTCCATTAAAGAATTCCTAAATAAAAATTTGATTTTCCTTAATAAAAACTCGAATAAACAAAAATTTTGATTAAATAAAAAATTTGTTTATTAAAGAATTCATAAACAAAAATTCCTTTCATAAACAACAATTTCTCTTAATAAAAATTCGTTTAAACGAAAATTCTTTCGGAATAAAAATTCGATTTTGCTCAATAAAAATTAAAAAGTCTAATAAACAAAAATTCTTTCTAAATAAAAATTCTATTAAAGAATCTCTACAGTAATTCGATTAAATGATTTTTAAATAAAAATTTGATTAAACAACAATTTCTCTTAACAAAAATTCGAATAAACGAAAATTCTTTGTAAATAAAAATTCTATTAAAGAATTTCTAATTAAAAATTCGATTTAACAAAATTTTTCCCTAAAAAAAAATTCAAATAAACAATTTTTAATTAAAAATTCAAATAATCAAAAATTCTTTCGATTTTCCTCAATAAAAATCCGAATAAAATAAAATTTTTTCTAAATAAAAATTCGTTTAAACAAATATTTGTTTTCAAAAAAAATTCTACAAAACAAAAATTTTCCTTATTTAAATTTTAATTAAACAATTCCAATAAATAAAAATTTGATTACATTTTTTAACCTTTCCTAAATAAATATTGGATTTATTTAAATTTATTCAAAATAAATGTTTCTCAATCGATTTTTTATTTAGGAATTTTTTAAAATTCCTAAATAAAAATTCGGTTATGAAAAATTTCGTTTTAATAAAAATTCGATTAAAGAAAAAATTTAATAAAATAAATGAATTTCGAATAGAAATTACAATTAATTATTAAAATTCAACGTTTTAACAAACAATTCAATTAATAAGAATCGACTAAATGTGGAAAAATCTAATTAGATTCGATTTCAAAACTCGCGTCTGTGATATACAAACAAATAGCTAATTTTATTGATAATTTAAAATTTTTCGATACAATATAAGAATTCAACCTCAAAACGAGAATGGAAAGAATATAATTAATACCACAAGATAATCAAACGAAAAAGAATACCCAACAAAATGAACTAATTAAAATTCTCACGAAATGAGAAAAATCTTTATTCAACGAAAAAAAACAAAAACGAATTCATCATAAATTAGGAAAGTTTCACCAGGGGGGAGGAAAGAAGGAGGAGAAAACATTACCAGGTAATTGAACCTGTTCAAAATGATATTCGAGCAAAGCAATGTCTAACCCCTTGAGCCACAAAACACCACTTGACTATAAACCTTCACCCCTTTGGATAAGGAATTTTCCCTTCCCCACCCCCCCCCCTCTTTCTGGGATTTTCTACCTTCTCTTAAACACTGCCCTTTTGCCCTTCTCCTCTCTCGATTTTCAACTCCTTCTCTCCTACCTTTCGTTCCACCCCCGCAATACTAGAGGACAACCACCCCTCAAATCTACTGTACATCCAAAAAACATTTCTCCTTATCTCCCACTTTTTCTATTTTTATTTTTTTTTCTCTCTCTTTTTTTTTAGTAATAGACACGAGGTTCTCATATACGAATCGAGTATTATAAAAAGGGAACATATCAAAAGCTGGACATCGCTTTTGATTCTGTTGTTAGTGAGGGAAAAATGATGAATAAACACTTTTATTTTTGTCGCGAGAGTTTTTTCAATACTTTTTTCACAAAAATTTATTTACATATTTATTTACTATTTTCCGTGTATGGAATAAATAATATAGGTTTTAAAATTAAATATTTATCATATTTTCAATGTCATTTATTTGCACTTTTCCAGTTAAAACTCAAGATAAGAAATTAGTAACAAAAAAAAAAAAAAAAAATGAACGTTCATTTACGATAATTTTGCGAAATTTAAATTTCAACTTTGATTTTCAAGAAAAATAAAATATTGAAAAACAAAATTCACCAGTTATAATGAAATTATCGTTAATGACACTAATTAGTAGCACGATATAAATTATCTTTACTCTTTATAGCTACTATTAACTCTTTATTTTCATAATTCGTTCATTTGAATTTTTATTTTTAAATTTTACAAAAAAATAATAAAACAAAAAGAAAGTATTTTCTATTTATTTTTCCGAACAATCGAAATAATTTCTTTTTAATTTCTCAATTTTGTTAAATTTTTACTTTACTACTTTCAAACTATTAATTTTTAATTTAACTTTTTTAATTTTTATTTATTATTTGTGATTTTCTAAATTCTAATTTGTAATTTTTAATTTCTTTTTCTAATTTTACTAACTAATAAAAGAAGAAGAAAGTATTTTCTATATATTTTTCTGAAAAATCAAAATAATTTCTTTTTCTTTTTAATTTTTTAATTTTATTAATTTTTTACTTCACCACACTTTCAAATTATTAATTTTTAATTTTTGTTTATGATTTTCTAATTTCTAATTTCAATTTTCAATTTTTTTTATAATTTTACAAACTTATAAAACAAGAAAAGAAAGTATTTTTTATGTATTGTTTTGAAAATAATATTTTTTTCTAATTTTTAATTATTATTTTCTAATTTCTAGATTTTATTTTCTAATTTTTATTTTTTTTCTATTTTATACCTATTCATAAAAAATTATTTTCTAATTTTAAATTGTTTTTTTCTAATTTTTAAAAATTTTATTTTCTAATTTTCATTTTCTAATTTGAGTAAAAAAACATTTATCTGAATAAAAATCCGATTAAACAACAATTTTTCTAAATCAAAATTCGATAAAACAACAATTTTCCTCAATAGGAATTTGAAAAAATTTTTTCTTGAAAAGAATTCAACTAGAGACTTTCTAAATAAAAATTCGATTTTCTTCTGGAAAAAATCCAATAATCAAAAATTATTTCTGAATAAAAATTCCATTAAAGAATTCGTAAATAAAACTTTGATTAAATCAATATTTTTTCTGAATAAAAATTTGATTTTCCTCAGTAATAAATCCAATAATAAAAAATTCTTTCTGAATAAAAATTCCTCTCAAGAATATCTAATTAAAAATTCGATTAAACGAATATTTTTTCT